TTGGATGGAGTAATGCTATTCATCCCCATTGGGGTTGTAAACACAGTCTATGTGGCGCTAATGTGACATTAAATGATAGGTGACATTTAGCATATCAATTAATGACACATAGACTGTGTTTTCATCCCCAGTAGAGATGAATAACATTACTCTTTAATCAATTATTTACATCCGCATAGATTGATGATACATCCCCGGAATCAATAGCATTTTTCTTTCTAATATATTCGCTGACACTGTCACTTGGATAACAGAACGATACTCTCAATTTCAGGCTTTCTTCGTTGAGTTAGGTGCATCCTCGAACAATGGCGAGGCTTGGTCAATTGACAAGAACAGTATTCAGATCTCTAAAACATCAATCATCATTCCCTTTCCAATTACAATCTAGAAGATCTTCTTTTTATTTTTTGAATACATGTTTTACAAAACCCTTGAATTATTCTCCCAATTCAAGGATAAGCTTCACTTCACGTGGTTATTCTTCTGTGACTGAAGAATCTCAGTCCCCTAGCACCATCGATTACCGGTAATTATTCCCTTTACTTTTTTTTTTTCTCTAATTTTAGTTTGTGGTTTCTTATGTGTGCATTTGGAAATTGAGAAATTTAATGTTTTGAAAATTGATTTCCATAAATTTTAGCTAATGTATCGATACATGTATAGTTCTGTGCTTCCGGAAGAGAAGTATCACATGTTGGCTAATTCCACTATCCATGACCTGATAGAGAAGCTAGAGGTAACTATCCATGGAGAATTTCAAACTCAATTATTTGTTTTAAGTTTTGACATTAATATGCTCTGGAATTTTTAGGGGATTCTATCCATCTTTTTTGTTCATCAGCATAGAACTGTAATAGGACTTAGTCTGAATCTCAAGATTGTCTAGTTGGCTCATTAACCTAGAATTGTAACCTGATTGTATTTACATATGTTTGATCTAAGCTACAATCTCCAGTTATGTACGACACAGTTTTTATTTGTTTTGAATTTTTTGAGGGCTATAGGTGTGTCAGCAGGGTTAATAAGGGCCATTTTTATAACTTTGGCTTTGTTGGTCTCTATATCTGCCCAGACATGCACGCGGTGACCGTGGTATCCAGAACTTGATACAGAAAAGTGCAACATAGAAAGAAATAGAAAAGATGAGAGAAGAATTGAAGGGGGAATTTTCAGTATTCAATAATCACTAGTCTCTTAAATTCATGTCCAAATTCCCCTTTTACAGTTGTGCATAACTTGAATTCAAGGGAAGTTTTAATACATTACATGCTTACAATATCAAAGTCTATCTTATCTTGTCTAAATTTGAACTGCTCTTATTTTTCCTAAAGTAAATATGTAACTATGTTAAGTCCTCAATTAGTTCTCTTTCTCCTTAGAATCCTTGTCACTGGTTTTTGAAATCTACGTCTTTTCACATATTTACTTTACCTTGTTGAGAAGCGGTGACAGGTCTGCTCTGGACCTAATTTTCAACAAAGTGGACCTGCTAATGGTTTGCGTGGCTATGCTTGACTAGGAGGATTTACTTTGTTAATCTCATTTTGAGGAATATAAGCCCCTACATGACAATCATTACTTCAATACTCTTTATTTAAAATACTCATTTTCAACCACACATTTATGCAATAAAATATTCCGCATCTAAACTTAAAATTTTTCTCTACTTTTAACCATACATTCTCCAAAAATTCACTATTCAAAACTTTGTTTTTGCTAAATAATGGCAATCAATCAGGGGCTAAATTAGTTGCTTAAAATAAGATATGTGCATTGCTTATCGTTGATAGTCTATTTTTCTTTGTTGCATGACAGGAATATGGCGACTCCTTGGAGATTGATGGTTTCGATGTAGACTATGGGGTAAGAATAATGGTTTGATGTTTGAAAGTGGTTAGTTTTGCAAACATTTCGCGTCTGTGCTGCTGTAGCTCTGGGTTTCATTTTGTAGAATGAGGTATTAACACTGAAGCTCGGGAGTTTGGGAACCTATGTAATAAACAAGCAAACGCCAAATAGACAGATTTGGATGTCATCTCCCCTGAGGTACTGATCCCTCTAACTCAAATCAGTATATCCTTTGAATTTTGACCTGTCTCTTTCAATACGTTTTGTTGATGTTTGGCTTGGGGTTTTAGAAAAGATGTTTGCTTTGAGTTTCATATTTTTTGAAATCTTGCTTTTATAGACCTTACCTATGAAGTGAAACCCCAACTAGCA